TTAAGATGTACTTGAATTTAAGATTTCTCATGAAATCCGTTTTAAAGTCAAAATTAAATGGCCCGATTGAATTGGCTAGTTTTAAAAGGCTTTTAAAGAGCATTTGAAATAAGAGTTCAAATGCTGCTCTGTTTGAAAGATATTTTTAGAACGTTTTATCTTAACTGAAATTAAGAAAAGCTTTAAGAAATTTAGTGATTCACTTATTTGAAATTATTGTTACAAATTATGAAAGTATTCTTTCTTATATTAAAAAAAAAATGTTCTGTAAATTTTAAGAAACCCCAGTAAGTACAAGTTAAAGTTTAAGTTACAGTGGTGGCCTCATAGGAGGGTCGTCACACGTGGTGGTATGTTAGGATCCTGGTTGAGTCTCACATTGCTAAAGTATGGGCTTAGCATGTGGGTTTATAACCACTTGGGCACCCTCTCTCTACAAGCTAGCTTTTGGGGATGAGTTCTACCCAAGGGTTATAACAATTGGTATCAGAGCATGCTCCTCCTCAGGCCCACGTTGCGGAAGGGGTGACCTGGGGAGGGGCGACCTGGAAAGGCCAGAGTGGGCCATCCAGAGTGGGCTGCCGTGGACGTCGGTGTCGGAAGCGTGGTGGTATGTTAGGATTCTGATTGAGTCCCGCATTGCTAAAGTATGGGCTTAACATGTGGGTTTATAATCACTTGGGCACCCTCCCCTACAAGCTAGCTTTTGGGGATGAGTTCTACCCAAGGGTTATAACACAACTACTGAACAGATTTTGGATCGAGTGATTATCCGCTGCATTTTCTCGCGAATGGCATTGAAATGTTAGAGAGGAACTAGCTTTCTAATTGTACTACTTTCTTTTTATTTTGTCATCAACAGTCTAATACAAGAATCATAGAGGAATTCGTGACCTTAGAACAAACTGATGGATGTGATTAATCTCCGCAGATGTACCAGGAGCAGCCACACGCAAGGCTCTAGGAGGAATGTCTACTAATGTTTCTTCTTAAATATTCAGAGGTCAGAACCTTATTTTGTGTAATCCCCTTTTTGTTTTTGCTTAAGCTCTCAATCTTACCATGTTACCTTATTTTTGGCTTCAGCAG